AGTATCTCCTCTGTTTTTCCTTGAAGTATATTTTGTATGGTATTTTAGATAATTTTGCTGCCTTAAGTTAAATTTTTTTCCACTAAAAATCTCCCCACTTTTCTCACAAAAATCCCCCCCAAATACTGAAAAGAAAAAGGAATAAATAGAAGGAGATTAGGGTTCACGAATTGGGGGGGAAAACGGACGAATCTCAATTCGAGGCCCATTTTCGATTTCAAAACTTCCAATTCTTTCACCCTTTTAGGGAGACTAACATTTTTTCTGAAATTTCACCCCATTCCGGAAGAGGAAAGGGGAGAAAACGCGTGTGTGCTGCCCGCTGCGATTCGTATAAGCTGAAAGGGACGTCGAGGATAAGGACAAGAAGAACACAACATACTGCTCACAATGTTGACTCTTGGTCTGGCCGTGTATCGCCGTGAATTTCTCTGTGTGCTCGCTGTGATGTTGAGGCGTTTGGACTGCTGTGTTGTTGACATCTGGAGGTTGCTGATGAAGACGCCGTGTAAGTTTCTTTAGGATTGGAAAGGAGTTGGGCCGGCTCGGGGGTTGGATTGGGTCGCTGGAAATAAGAGGAAAGGGAATTAGAATAGAGAGAGTGGGCTGAAGAGTTGTTGGGTTATGCTGGAAATTGAACTTGTACTGCTGAAAAAGTAAGCAAGCCCAAAAATGGTCTTTTAAGGAATTTGAAAAGTTGAAAGGCAAATGGCTAATTTCATAAATAAAAATGCTATATTCCAAATTAAGATATGGCCTTTTGAGTTCAATTGTGGCCGATTGGAATTGGAGTTTAACTAAATTGAGCTCGATTGACAAATTTGATTAAAATTTAAATAAAACGAATTAGTGTGATTAATTAGTGAGCTTCTTATTCTTATTGAAATAAAATAGTTAACTTAATTAATAAACCAATTAATTTAAAAAACCCACTAATTGATTCAAAATTTTAAAACTATAGTTCCGAATGAAACTAAGTTAATAAAATATTTATTTTAACAACGTATAAATCTTTTTGTATGATTTTTAAATACTTATAAGATGTACTAACTACATATATGATTATATGAAATATATTGCTTATTCAAAATGCTTATGAAAATCGATTGAAATTATTTAAAAACCTCGAAACTATTTTAAATTTTATAAAGCTAATTATTCTAAATCGTTTGAAAGTTAAGAAGCTCGGCAATTAATTATTATCGGGGAGGGCCAAAATTGGATGTCAATAGTGAGCAGATCCAAATTTAAAATTTTGAGTTCATGAGCTTTAAATTTTTTTATAAAAAAAATAATTTATGATTTTGAATTAATTATTTAAATATATATATATTCAATGAATTTTTAACATAAACATATGATTTTAGCTAAATTATAAGACTTTATCATATACATAGCTAGAATTCTAACTTTGATTGTGTAACATCCGACAATTTGAAGTGGCTTTGAAGAAGCTTGAAATTTGGAAATAGTCATTTTTGGAAAAATTTAAAATCTGGAAATTTGGCAGTCCAGAATCTGGAAAATTTGGCTAAGTTCAAAAATCTGGAAATTTGGCTAAGTGTGGAAATCAGTGAGTTTTTGGCCAACTTTGAGCAGTCGTAACTCCTAGCTCAGGATGAGTTAGGAGTATTTCCAATTATGGTTTCGAAGCTTGTGGAATGATCTTTCCAACGCCACCGAGTTTACTCGATTCCGAGTTCGTATGAGCGAGTTATGCCCTTTGAAAGTTGGGGCAGTTGGCAAGGAGTCCGTCCGGAAATTTAAGGGCATTTTAGTCTTTTCACAAATCATTTCTTTTGAGCTTATATTGTTGTATTAGGCTGATCTTTGGATCATTTTGTCCCATTTTGAAAGAGAAAGAGTTAGGGTTCTTGAGGGTGAAGAAGAGAAGAAGGAGAAGAAGAAGAGAAGAAAGAGGAGATCAACAAGATTCGTCAAGATCATTGTGGATTTTCGTCGGGGGTGATCCCTATCAAGGTATGTGAGTTCTTTGTGTGGGTTGATCCTTTCCCCCACTCACCAAGCTCATGTTTATGGTTTGAGAAAAGATTGGATTTGTTGTTGAAGTTGTTAGTTGTTGTTGATGTTGTTAGTTGTGTTGTTGAAGTTATTGTTGGTTGTGGGACAGGATTGGGCTGTGTATTTGAGTTGTGATCTATTGTATGTTGAGAGATTGATGATCCTTAGTATTGGTTGGTTCATACCCCCACACACCAACTCGTTTTTAATTCCAAGAAAAGATTTATTGGTTGTTGAAGTTGTAGTGGTGTTGTGTTGAAGTTCTTGCTGGTTTAGTACAGATTTCTGGCTGTGATTTTTGAGTTGAATCTATTGTATAATAAGGATCTTTATGATTCTAAGTGTTGCTGCTGAAACCTTGAGGTTGAGAGGGTTTAGAATTGGAAAGAAACAAGGGGAAAAAGTCAGATTTTTTGGGGAAAAAGGGGCTGGGCTGTCGCACCTCTCCTAGTGCCAAGGACACCAATCCTTCCCTTTCATTCACCATTTTTTTCATACATGTTCCTAGGTATTATACCTATGTTTCCTAGTTGTTTCCAACACTCCAAGGTACTTCTAAAAGTCAAGTAAAACTACAAGTCAAGTGAAGTTAGTTTCCAATTCAAGTGAAGTTAGTTTCCAAGTCAAGTGAAGTCAAGCTTAGAAGTAAGTAAGTCAAAGCAAGTCTTTAAGGTTTTCCAAGAGTCTTCATTGAACGTTTTAACTTCATTCTAAGGCTTAAGTTCCAAGTTAAGTATTGAGTTTCAAGTCAAGTCAAAAGTTAAGAGTTTCACATCAAGCCAAGAGTTCAAGTAAAGTAAAGAGTTTAAAGTTGAGCTATTTTCTCAAAGTTATTAGGGAACTATGTATTCCCAAAGAAGTTTTAAAGAAATGTTTTTACATTTAAACAAGGTTGGAAACTGAGATTTCCAAAAGAGCCTTCGGGCTAGTTTTTGAGTAATTATCTCATATCAGCAGGAAAAAATATGTTTTAAAAACATAAGAGCCAGTACATTTTTGGGAGTAGTATCGAGCACCGAATTGGGGGAGCGTTCAAAGAACCCACAGCCCCCATAGAACCATGTTAGCCACCATGGGTAGAAAAGGATCATACTTTTTAGATGAATCCTTTTCAGATTAGACTAGTGGATCCATTAGGCAGTTCAGGTCTTGTACCTTTGGCCAGGTATAAGATGCTCTGGCAGCGTGAGGTCGATCGCTGTATCATCACTATAGCTCTTATGTGATGGTTGTCGGTTAGAGAAACTCCCACAGCAGTTATTGTATTTTCATACACAGAGATTATTGTATTTTTATATACATCAGTTCATTGTATTTCTATATACATTTCAGGCTTATTGTATCCTTGTATACACACAGAGTTTATAGCATGTTTTAAACAGTCTTTCTTTATATCGCACTTGTTTTAAATTGCCTTATATTGAAAGAAGTCAGTCAGGTTGAGTTGAGTTGAGCCAGGTAAGCTATTCAGTTTCTTCCAGATTTCCTTCTAGCCTTTGTTGCTTAGTTTTCCAACTCGCATACTCGTAATTTCCATGTACTGATGCCAGTTGGCCTGCATCGTTTGATGATGCAGATTCAGGTGCCCCGGATCAGCATCCTGCACGTCGTTGATCCAGCTGAGCACTCCAGAGTCAGTGGTGAGCCTCCTTGCATTCCGGAGGACTCAATTATTTTGTGTTCTTAGTTTTTTGTTTTATTAGGATGTTGCGGGGTCTATCCCAACATCCATCTCAGTATTTTAGAGGCTTCATAGACAGACAGTCAGTCCGTTAGTTTTGAGTCTCTCATCTATATATATATGTAAATATTCTATTTTGAGATTCGAGTTGCCTTTATGGCCATATTTTATAAGTTAAGTTGTTTTCTAACCTTGCATTAGCATTGAGTTATTCTGTTGGGTTAGGTTTCCACTGAGTTAAGAAAGCCAGGCCAAGGGTTCGCTTGGGGCTAGAAATGGTCTTCGGGTGCCGATCCCGTCCAGGGTGTAGGCTCGGGGCGTGACAGATTGTGAGTGATTTTTAATTTTGTGAAATTCTTTAGCAAACAAAAGTCATTATTAGGAAGGCCAGCTCCTCATGATACCTTGTTAGATGAATTTTAAAACTTTTATGTTGAAATATTTTATAGTTTGGGGATGAAATGTGTAGATTTTTTAATCTTTAAGGATGCATACCTTGTATTTGACATAAATAAAACCAAAATACATAGATAAAAAATTGATTAAACTATATTTGTATTTTATATTTCAAATTATTGAATGCTGGAGTTATACTCTGATCATGGCCAATTCTACACTTTAAAATAAAATGTAAATAGTAGACTCATAGCAATAATAAATTCAACAAAGGTTGGGGTCGATCTCATAAAGAAATGTGCATGTGTCAAGGTAGATATACATAAAGACAATAAATATATGAGTAATGCTAAATGACTAGAAAATTTGGCCACAATTTGGCTAGAAATTTTAAAAAATTATAATATCCTTTTTATTTTAAAATAAATTGATCTTTTTTCTATTTTTTTTAATTAAAAGGTATTAAAGTTAAAAAGATAAAAATGTTCAAAAAGATAAAATAAGTACATAAGTAAAATACCATTCAAACCAAAAGGATTTTTCCTAAATATATTACTTTACAAAACTAGAATTGTGAGCATTGATTCTTGAAGAAGAAAAGAAACTAAAGCTACTGCTAATTCGAAAGGTAAATATGCATAAGACAATAAATAGATAAATAAATATATTTTACAAATTAGAAGCCACAAATACATCAACTTGAAAAACAATCAAACATTTAATTTATTTATTACAAACAGGCATCAGAAGATGGTCTCCACCAAAGACTTAATCATTCTGAAAAGCATCTGCAATTTATTAGACATAAAATTTTTAGTTCGTGAATTAATTAATAAATAAATAATGATCTTATTTTGAGATATTAAAAGTAAATAACTATCCTGTTGACACATTGGGATTTTCATACTCTCAGATTTACAAGTCTTTCCGAGAGCCTAACGTTGGGAATGGTATCCATAAGTAATAGCTTTTTCAATTTAGGCATACTCACATCATCCATGCACGTTATTTCAAACAAGCATAATGATTCTTTAATATGCAGAAATTCAAGTTGCGGAAAGCTATCACCACCAGAGAGATCCATCTTTTCTTCACTATGTACGCAGCAAACCATTTTAAGTATCTTCAATTTGGGCAATTTCTTAAGCACTGCCACTACCTGACTGTCTACGCCAAAGTCGACAAGAGTAAGCTTGACAAGATTTGGAGGGAATGATGCTACAAAGTTAAAGGGCATTCTTCCGTTCAAATGCAACTTAACAATATTTGGATAGGACGACAAGTTTATATCCTCACTCATGTCCCTGGAAAATTCGAGCTTCAGAATCTCCAGCGCCGGTTGCACAGGGCTCGATGCTGCTAATATCTTAATCGTAGAATCAGATACTTCTTCTATACCCAGTTTTCTTAAATTGATCAATCGGTGCAACAATCTTGCTTCAAAACATTTATCATTCATCCACATCAAAGTTTGTAGATTATTAGGAGGCAATGAGTACACGTTTGGAACAGATGGGCTTGTAGAAAAGCAACTGTTAGATGCCTGACTATAATCTTTATAAAGAAGATGTCTTAATTGTGTAAACTTCCAAACACCAGTAGGAAGTTTAATGAAGCTTTTACCAATATCTAGGGTCTCTAGATGTTTGAGCTTCACCATACAATTTGGCAGTTTCCCATAAATATTCCCCTCGAATTGCAGATAGCGTAAGCAACTCATGTTCCCAAACGTGTTTGGGATTCTCCTGGCACTCCGTATATCATTATTAGATATGACTACTACCAACACTTGCAATAATTTGAAATTAAGATGATCCATATGAGAAAATAGGCAACTGTCATTTATGAAACAGAAAAGTGCACGAAGCTTCCTAGGCTTAGGATTTGAACGGAAGAACTCATTCATGGCATTATTATTAGAGTAGAATGTAATCCTTCGCACCTTAGCAACATTGCCGGGATCACCAAATGCATTGTGCTCAGTGTGAAAGAAATTACTTTCCTTAGACAAGTCAACACACAAACTATGTAACAAGTCATGTATGCGACAACTTGAAATTCTTCCATCATATGTCCTTTTGGCAACTTGAATCAAGTTTCTAGAAACCAAATCATTTAGAATATCCTCCGCTAAACTTTCAGCCTCTCGCCCATTGCCACTATTTACAACTATCAGCTTCTCAGCAATCCACATATTTGTCAAATCAAAAGCACGAATTTCATGGTCCTCAGGGAAAAGGCCAAAGTACAAGAAACACGGCCTTAATGCAATGGGCAAATCATTGTAACTCAGAGTCAATACCTTAGCACATCCATCCTGAATTTTATGACCCATACTCTCAAGTACTCTGTTCCATGCACGTTCTATTCTTTCTCTTGCCCTTAACATGCTTGCGGTCACCACAATGGCTAACGGTATACCTCCACATCTCTCAACTATACTTCTACCAATATTTACCAAGTTAGGTGAAGCATTGGCCCAATTATTATTGTTATCAAAAGTAAAGATTTTCTTGGTAAAGAGTTCAAAACTCTTCTCTGAATCTAAGGGTTGCAACTCGTGGAGCGAGGAATCCTCTCCTATGTATCTGCCTACATTATTATTTCGAGAAGTGATAATTATCCTACTGCCAACTTTTGAATCACATTCAGGAAGGACACGTTTCAGATCATCCCAAATTTCAACACCCCAAATGTCATCTAGGAGGATAACATACCTTTTTGTTTTCAAGAGTGATCGTAGGTTGCCCTCCAAGTTTTCTTTCCTTTCCTCTTCTGTCAGTCCAACTTGTTTGGCTATGTCATGTAAGATTTCTCCCGCCCTTGGCTGTTGTGAAACATAGACCAGTCCAGAACACTCAAATTGATGACGGACATGCCTAAAAAGTTTCTTGGCAAGAGTTGTTTTTCCCAAACCGGGCATGCCAACTATTGAAACAACTCCATAAGGCAAATCATGATCAAGTAATTTGGCTTGTAGCTTATTGAAGTCATCATCCAAACCGATGACCTCTGTTTCATCAGCATGAAGGAACAATCTTCTCTTGTCCAATGGAATGCAATCATTGTTGTTATTTGTATCCATGATGTTGTAAGTTGTCCTTACACGGTCAATGTCCGCAACCCTTCTTTTTATCCTCTCAATCTCCATAGCAAACTCATTGGCACAAGGGATGCAGGCTGTCTTAAGGCAACAAATTGCGCCTTTGAACTTATTGGATTGTTGAATTTTTGGAAGGAACTCATCTAAGAGATCCTCCACATCACCTGCCAGTTGTTGAATATCTTTTAATAAGTTTTTGACCTTTGAATCACCTCCAACTTCCTTGGCCTTTGCATCGTCTACATATGATCGAATGTGTCTCATTTCTCTATGGAGCCAATCTATGTCCTCTTTCAACCAATATAAACGCATTCCTTCTTGAAAGAGTACATTTCCAGCTATTGCTATTGATTTATTGATGACTGCTGTGAGAAGAATTTCAGCCATCTCTTTTTTCCTTGAATTTCTGTTTTCTAAATGTGAGGATTAGCAAGGGAAAGTAAGAGAAAAAGATGATCAATTTTTGGTAAAAGGATAAGAAAGATGCACTATTTGCTTTAGGTGTTGGAGTCGACGGCCAAGTCTTGTAATTACTAATAATAATAATAATGTCAAGTAGATGAAAATGAAAGAACAAATGGACAGAAGCAACTACTCTGTTCATATTAAATACAATAATTCATCGTTTCTTAATCATATTAGCTGGTATTTCGTTTTCAAGAATGCAGGGGCGCCGCCCTTACCCATACCCCTTTGTCGGAAAATTACACTGTATATAGAGGTCAAATTTTGATTTAAATAAATATATATACAAGTATTAACATCTCTGGACACAAGTTAAAGGTTTAGTGTAGTGGTTAAGGTATTACGAAAGTTCCTTGAAGTTGTGTGTTTTTGTGCTATTAACCTCAAATTAATTTTTTTTACTACAACCATTGATACCGTTAATAACAATCTTGGATCCACGTTGAAGGTCAGACAATTGAGGCAGTACTACGCGTAAAATTCAATGGCAAAGATGAGTTCACACCGAAGCTTCTGGAATCTCCTTCGTCCGATTATATTTCAGTTCATTAAAACAATTGTTAAATCTTTATTATATATTTCATTTTCAAACAAGAACAAAGAATTTTTAGAGTCGTCAGCAGATTGAAGCAGTATATGATTATCCCACTAGAATATATATATATATATACACTAGTTCTAGGAACGTGCGTTGCAAGTTTATTTCCTAATTGACATTAGAAAAGTTAATTTATATAATCATAGTGGAGCATACATAAATTCATTGTTTAGTTTAAAACTAAGTCCCTTTGTATGTAAATTGAATCGAAAAAAATACTATTGATTTATTCCTCTTGGGTTATAGGGTCAACGATTTTTAAATGATTTTATTAAAAAAAAAATAGTGGGTTATTGGTTCAATTTTATTTTTAATATTGGATTATTGTGTCAACCAATAATAATTCACTAACTTCAGCCGTACATATATATCAAATGTTTATCTCTACCCCTTACTACTTTATATATCTTTTACAAATCACAAGGCACAAGAAAGCAATCAAACATTTTATTTATTTAATTACAAATACAAAGATGCATCAGAAGAAGAGTTAAATCATTCTGAAATGCATCTGCAATTTATTAGACATAAAATATTTAGCTCATGAATTAATTAAATAGAAAATAAGCTTGGGATTTTCATATTCTCAGCTTTGCGAGACGATCGGAGAGACATACTGACCTCTCGCATTTGGTATCTACAAGTAATAGCTTGTTCAGTTTAGGCATATTGACATCATCCGTACATATTATTTCAAGCAACCAGAGTGGATTTTGAATATGCAAAACTTCAAGTTGCGGAAAGCCATCACCAGAGAGATCCATCTCTTCTTTTTTATGTTCGCAGACAACCATTTTAAGTATTCGTAATTTGGGTAATTTCTTAAGCACTGCCACTACATGATCGTCTACCGTCAAGTAGACAAGAGTAAGCTTGACCAGATGTGGAGGGAATGCTTCACAGTTCAAGCGCATTGCTGCGTTCAAATGCATCTTAACAATATTTGGATACGACGACAAGTTTATTTGCTCACTCGATTCATTGCAAAATTTGAGCTTCAGAACCTCCAACGCTGTTGGCACAGGGCTCAATGCTGATAATATCTTAATGGTAGAATCAGATGCTGAACTTATACCCAGTTTTCTTAAATTTATCAATTGGTGCAACAATCTCGCCTCAAAAAATTTATCATCCATCCACATCAAAGTTTGTAGATTATCATGAGCCACATGTTTGGGCTTATAGAAAAGAAATCCTTAAGTTCTTCTCTACAATGAACATGTCTCAATTGTTTAAAATCCCAAACACTACAAGGAAGTTCAATGTCGCCCACTCCAATATCTATGGCCTCTAGACATTTGAGCTTCACAATATTATTTGGCAATTTTCCGCTAATTACCCCCTCCAATCGCAGATAGCATAAAGCAACTCATCTTCCCAAATTTGTTTCCCATAGTGAAACCCCCATAACCATCTTGAGACATGACTACAACCAACACTTGCAATAATTTGAAGTTAAGATGAGCCAATTCAGAAAATATGCAACGGTCTTTTGTGAAACAGAGAAGTCCACGAAGCTTCTTAGGATAAGGATTTGAACGAAAGAACTCATTCATGGCATTATTATCAGAGTAGAATGTAATCCTTCGCACCCTAGAAACATTGCGGAGATTACCAAATGCATTGTGCTCAGTGTGAAAGAAGTTACTTTCCTCAGCCAAGTCCACACACAAACTATGTAACAAGTCATGTATGCGAATATTTCCATTTGGCAACTTGAATCAAGTTTCTAGAAACCAAATCATTAAGGACACCCTCCACCAAATCTTCAGCCTCTCGCATATTACCACTATTTACAACTATCAACTTCTCAGCAATCCACATATTTGTCAAATCAAAAGCATTAGCAATGGGAACTCTCATTGTAACTCAGAGCCAGTACCTCAGGGTAAAGGCCAAAGTACAAGAAACATTGCCTTAGTGCAATGGGAAAATCATTGCAACTCAGAACCAGTACCTTAGCACATCCATCCTGAATTTTATGACCCAAACTCTGAAGCACTCTGCTCCATGCATATTCTGTTCTTTCTTTTGCCCTTAACATGCCTGCTATCACCGCAATGGCTAGTGGTATACCTCTGCATCTCTCAACTATACTTCTACCAATATTTACTAAGTCAGCTGAATTATTACTATAAAAAATAAAGCAATTTCACGGCCAAATCCATGTTACTTGGCTCATAAACAACATCTTGTCCTGTTACTCTAGCTGGTCCAACTGAGGATAATTTTATGTTGTAAATTAGACCATCTTCTAATTTTGAAGACACCATTTTTGGATTATTTTTTTTTCCTAAGTGGGAGTAGAGGAGCTTGTAGACAATTTGGGATGTTCTTGATTATGTAGAGGATGGATTATATAGGATTTTGAGGTGAGATAATAAACTAGCAATGATTTATATATAGCTCATGGTATATGGTATACTAAATAGGTGTATTATGTATATATTGTTAGCTGACAGCGGTGAGAAATGAGCGAGTTAAATTATATTTGAGCTGATTAAAACTAAATAGACTGAGTTAATAAATGATGGCTCAATGAAATGTTTATATAGGCTTTTGAGGTGAGATTATAAACTAGCAATGATTTATGTAGCTCATGGTATACTAAATAGGTGTATATATTGATAGCTGCGGTGTTAAATGAGCGAGTTGAATTATATTTGAGCTGATTAAAACTAAATAGACTGAGTTAATAAATGATGGCCCAATCATATATTATTAGGTTGATATAAGTTGGATCATATAGGCTAAAACCATGGGTCATAATAACTTAATTCGCCCAAATTTTTACTTAAGTTTGAGAGTTTTACTTATAATTTGTATAATTACCTAAAAATTTAATAAAATTTGCCTCGTTTAATGATAATTATCATAAATATTTGAATATTTTATTTTATATATAATATATTTTTTACAAAATATTATTATATAATATTGAGTATAATTGTCATAGAGGAGTAATTTTACAAAAAGTCTACTGCTATAATGAATGACACTGTGGTTATAAGTAAATATAACATGAAAAATTGATTATGAAAAAAATCAGGTGGCTATAATGAAATATCATTATAACGAGTGCATAGCTATATACATACTCACTCTTGTTCTTATTTTATTTTTGTTTCTTTAATTTTATTTTTTTCTGCTGTGTGATATAGAAGTTTTTGTCCTCAGGATTTGGACAGAATTCAAAACTTTCAAAATCTTTCATCATGACAAAAAACTTTAAGGAATGAAGTACTGTGTACTAATTAATTGATTATGTGTTATCGGAAGATCAATATAAATTCGAGTTATGAAAATATTTTTTTATAGAAATATAAAATAAGATTACGTACTATAAAATCTTATAATTCTGTTCTAGTCAGAATTTAGTGCACAAGGCTCTTAATTTATTTTATTTTTTAATTAACTTTTTGCATGATTGAGATGCCACTTTTGCTCATTTTCTAGTCCCTACTAGGAAAAATTAAGAAGGTTTACATGAAATTATCCACTCCTATTATCCTATATTTCAAGATATATATTATTTTTCCATGTGATATACCATACTCATTTTAGAATTCGAATAATCTGGATTTATGCGAGACAATTCCATTTTGAAGTAGAACTCTTCCTATTAATTAAACGTAAATTTACACTTAAAATTTGAACTCGAGATCTCTGTTATAAAACAATTTTAGATTCTAAAACCGCTAACATTAATTTGAACTGCAAGAGTAGTTCTCTAGCTAAAAATATTTTATAAACTTATCTTATATAGAAATTCAATTTTTCCATATATAAAATGGAATAAAAGAGTAGTCGTTATCTAAGTAATTAAAGAGCTAATAAGTCTTATAATTAATGGAGAAAAAAAATATACATAGGTGGCAAGACTTTAAATTAGGTAATTGGAGAAATTCATTGCAAGTTATCTATGGCGTTTTATTGTCCACATTGAGGTAGTTGAGTGATTCATTTTGCAATAAATTACACACTCCGTTTTATTGTCCACATAAACTTTGATTTACATTTTAAAATATATTTTTCATTATATTAATATGAGAAAGATTGATAGTATAATTTTTGAACATCCAAATTTAAAATATTGAATTAATTTAATTCAACCTGACTCCGAAAATTAATCAAATTAACTTTTGCGAAACATGGCAAGTAAATGCATTTTTTTTTGTTTCTCACCCGGTGGCTAGTACCCTCATTGAAGTCTGACTAAATCCAATTTCGCGTCAGGAGTCCCAGATTGAGAGGTGAAGTGCTTTTTAACGAAGACAATTTCGTACAAAAGAGAACTCAAATCCAAAATCTTTGATTAAAAATAGATGGATATTTAGTTATTTACCATTCTACTACAACCTTATCAGATATATGCAAACCCGAGTTGCATGTTATCCATTACCCATATTTAAGCCATCTCCTTCATTGCAAAAGATGAAAGTGTAAATAAATATACGTACCAATTTTAGAGGTGCAATATTAAATATTTTACCAGAATTGCACATAATATAATACTATATATAGTGTACCATATAACTAGACAACTGTAATATGCACTTTTTTTAGGTCATCCCACTACAATATTTACTTCAACCACCCCCAAATAGTTGCCTTTTGTAGAGGTATATAACAATATTAGCGGCCCCAGTGGGAGGCTCGCACAACGGGCTATTAGCTCAGTGGTAGATTGCATCCCTGATAATTGTGTTGTTGTGCTTATAATTTGACTCATATTTGAAGTTAAATTTGATTAGTTAAATTAAATATTTAAAAACTATAAAATAGTACTATATATGATAATCCCCCCTCATATAATTAAAATTTAATAACATAATATGATCCTAAAAACAATACATGTTAAGATATTGATTAAAGTCCATATAATTTGACTCTCAAAAAGCGAGTCATCAGAATATTTCGGAAAGGAAGGAGTAAAATGTAAGGAGAACTTTGGTATAACCAAAATGTCAGTATGTTATACACAGCTATTTCTTGTATAAATTGAGAGACGTTTCTTAAAAAGAAAAAAAAGGCCTATTAATTGTAATTTAATTTGATTAATTGTAATTTAATTTGTTTTACCACATTATCTATGGAATTAAAATTTGGATTAGAATTGTGGGAGTGAGTCAGAACACTTCTCGATTAGGATGGAATTGCATAGGAATCAACCCTTAGCATGTTCCTTTTTGTCTTAATGATGGACCAATCGACACGATATATCCAAAGTGAAGTGCCAGTGTATGTTATTTTCGGATGTTAGATGACATAATATTGATTGACAAGACGTGCGATGAATTTAATGATCATAGATTAAAATTTTTGGAAAGAAGCTCTAGAGTCTAAAAGTTTCAAGTTAAGAATTGAAGGACTAAGTTAATTAGAATACTTAGAATGTAAGTTTAGTAACGTGTTTAAAACTAGAATTGTGAGCATTGATTCTTGAAGAAGAAAAGAAACTAATTAAGCTACTGCTAATTCCAAAGGTAAATATACATAAGACCATAAATAGATGAATAAATATATTTATTTTACAAATTAGAAGCCACAAATACATCAACTTGAAGAAGCAATCAAACATTTAATTTATTTATTACAAATACAAACAGGCATCAAAAGATGCTCTCCAGCAAAGACATAATCATTCTGAAAAGCATCTGCAATTTATTAGACATAAAATATTTAGTTCATGAATTAATTAATAAAAAATGAGCTTATTTTGAGATATTAAAAGTAAATAACTAACCTGTTGACACATTGGGATTTTCATACTCTCAGCTTTGCAAGTCTTTCCGAGAGCCTAACGTTGGAATCAGTTCTTTCTATAAGTAATAACTTTTTCAATTTAGGCATACCGACATCATCCGTGCACGTTACTTCAGACAAGCAGACTGGATCTTTAATATGCAAAACTTCAAGTTGCGGAAAGCTATCACCATCACCAGAGAGATCCATTTTTTCTTCGATATGGTAGCACTGATACATTTTAAGTATCTTTAATTTGGGTAATTTCTTAAGCACTGCCACTACATGACCGTCTACCATCAAGTTCCAAAGAGTAAGCTTGACAAGATTTGGAGGGAATGATTCAGAGACGTTCAAGGGAATTGTTCCGCTCAAATGCAACTTAACAATATTTGGATACGATGACAAGTTTATTTGCTCTCTCAATTCACTGAAAAATGAGCTGAGCTTTAGAACCTCCAGTGTCGTTGGCACAGGGCTCAATGTTGATAATTTCTTAATGGTAGAACCGGATACATCCACTAAACCCAGTTTTCTTAAATTGATCAATCGGTGCAACAATCTCGGTTCAAAAAATCTATCATTCATCCACATCAAAGTTTGTACATTATTAGGAGGCACGTTTGGAAAAAATGGGCTTATAGAAAAGCAACAGTTAGTTGCTTCATTGAAATAGTTAGAACGAAGATGTCTCAATTGTGTAGACTTCCAAACACCAGTAGGAAGATCAATGCTGCTATTACTAACATCTAGGGTCTCTAGATGTTTGAGCTTCACCATACAATTTGGCAGTTTCCCATCAATATCCCCCTTGAATCGCAGATAGCGTAAGCAACTCATGTTCCCAATTTTGATTTGGCTAATGCTGAAATCATAATTTTTTCGAGGCTGGACTACAACCAACACTTGTAATAATTTGAAGTCATGATGAGCCAAATGAGAAAATATGCAAGAGTCTCCTTTTGTGAAACAGAAAAGTGCACGAAGCTTCTCAAGCTTAGGATTTGAACAGAAGAAGTCATTCATGGCATTATTATTAGAGTAGAATGTAATCCTTCGCACCCTAGCAACATTGCCGGGATCACCAAATGCATTGTGCTCGGTGTGAAAGAAGTTACTTTCCTTAGCCAAGTCAACACACAAATTATGTAACAAGTCATGTATGCGACAACTTGAAATTCTTCCATCATATGTCCTTTTGGCAACTTGAATCAAGTTTCTTGAAACCAAATCATTTAGGATATCCTCCGCCAAACTTTCAGCCTCTCGCCTATTACCACTATTTACAACTATCAACTTCTCAGCAATCCACATATTTGTCAGATCAAAACCACGAATTTCATGGTCCTCAGGATAAAGGCCAAAATACAAGAAACATGGTCTTAATGCAATTGGCAAATCATTGTAACTCAGAGCCAATACCTTAGCACATCCATCCTGAATATTATGACCTATACGCTCAAGCACTCTATTCCATGCATGTTCTGTTCTTTCTCTTGCCCTTAACATGCCTGCCGTCACCACAATGGCTAATGGAATACCTCCACATCTCCGAACTATACTTTTACCAATATCTACCAAGACAGGTGAAGCATTAGCCCAATTATTATTATTATCAAAAATAAAGATTTTCTTGGTAAAGAGTTCAAAACTTTTCTCTGAATCTAAGGGTTGCAACTCGTGGAGCGAGAAATCCTCTCCTATGTATCTGCCTACATGATGATATCGAGAAGTGATAATTATCCTACTGCCAATTTTTGAATCACATTCAGGACGAAGGACACGGTTCAGAGCATCCCAGATTTTAGTATCCCAAATGTCATCTAAGAGAATAACATACCTTTTTGTTTCCAAAAGTGATCTTAGATTGTCCTCCAAGTGTTCTTTCCTTCCCTCGTCCGTCAGTCCAACTTGCTTGGCTATGTCAAGTAAGATTTCTCCTGCTCTTGGCTGTTGTGAAACGTAGACCAGTGCAGAACACTCAAATTGATGACGGACATGCCTATAAAGTTTCTTGGCAAGAGTTGTTTTTCCTAGACCAGGCATGCCAACTATTGAAACAACTCCATTACACAAATCTTGAACAAGCAATTTGTCTTGGAGCTTGTTGAAGTCATCATCCAAACCGATGACCTCTGTTTCATCAGCATGAAGGAATTTTCTTCTCTGTTCCATTGGAATGCAATCATTATTGTTGTTACTTGTATCTGTGATGTTGAAAGTTGTCCTTAAACTATCAATGTCAGCAACCCTTCTTCTTATCTTCTCAATCTCCACAGCAAACTCATCGGCAAAAGAAACCGTCTTAAGGCAACAAATTGCGCCTTTGAACTTATTGGATTGTTGGATTTTTGGAAGAAACTCATCTAAGAGATCCTCCACATCACCTGCCAATTCTTGAATATCTTTTAATAAGTTTTTGACCCTTGAATCGCCTCCAACTTCCTTGGCCTTTGCATCGTCTACATATGATCGAATGTGTCTCAGTACTCTCTGGAGCCAATCGATGTCCTCTTTCAAAAAATTCAAGCGGCTCCCTTGTTGAAAGAGTACATTTGCAGCTATTTCTACAGATTTATTGATGACTGCTGTAAGAAGAATTTCAGCCATTTCTTTTTCAGTAGCTACAAAAAACTGATCAGAATGAGTAATTAGAAAGAAGAAGATAATTGGTAAAGGAAAAGAAAGGTCAGCTTAGAATAGTTGGAGTCCACTGCCAAGTCTCCTAATAATGTCAAGTAAATGAAAAACGAAAGAAAAAAGGATCAACACATGCTGTGGATAAGATACTAGTTGAATAGTCGAAGGAAATTGCACCATTCGTTCCAATTTAAGTGTCATTCAATTTAATTCGATATGGAATTTAAGAAACAAACTGTGACTTAATATTTTGTGGCTGATGATTGATAATGTACTTTTCTTTTTCTTTTTTTGAAAAGTCACGTAACTAAGCAAATATCTTTAGTATAATTAATCAATCACACGATATTTTTAAAAAATTAAATATCCAGACGCCATTTTTAAATTTCCTAAAATGTCTTGCAAAACTTTACCCAATTTGGGTTCATGGCTGTGAGTTTGGGATATTATGAGACTCAATTTGTATGTTACATGAAAATTAGGCTTTTATGCGATTTGATCCTCTCAAAAAAAAAAAAAAAAATTGGTCCGAGTGGACGTTCGGTTATTCGGTTCGATTTTTATTAAACTTTGATTTGGTGGTGAGACATCACCATAATGACTCTAGTGGAATGGTCAAAATCTCTTCACTTTCCTGGTAAGGAATGTTTTGTTCTAAATTTATTGATTAGACTAATTCAAATTCATATCACGTAATGCTAGTTTAAGAAAGAAATACTTTCTACCAGTATTTTTTCATTTTTAGAGCTTGAATCAAAAAAATATTTTATTTTGTTGTGAGTGTAATCTTCAAATCCTTGTGGTATCACGAGGTTATTTCACCAGGACTTACAACAAGGAAAAGAAAAAAAAAGATATAATTTGAGGAAAATATAAAATATGAAAAAGTGTCGCATTAAAGTTAAAAAAAAAAATTAAGTAGGCGTTTGATCGTGAAATTCAAATATTTTTCATTGAATTTATAGAATTGAAATTGAAAATGGAATTACGTTTAATTATATTTTTCTTGCAAATGAAAGAAAAAAATAACGAGACATCAAACTTCTTTGAAATAAAGTGAAAAATTATTTGAAAAAAAATAATAAATAATTCACATAACATCCGAAAGTAGCTTTCTCAATCTCGACAATTGGAGTTAATAACTTTGATGGTCACTCAACTATCAATTTTTTTCACATAAAGTCACTCAACTTTCATTTTCAACTCAAAAGTCACTCAATTATGACTTCTTTGCACAAAAAGTCATTTAATATATTTAATTATTTTTTTATTAAAATTTGCTAACGTGAAATTTTAATTATTAACCAAAATTTTAAGAACCAAATATATATCCATTTAAACCATTTAATGACCTGCCCCATTTAACCCGACCCGCTATAAATATAATATTAAACTTTTTATTTTACCATTAATTCTCTAAATTATTTTCCCTTGTCTCCCTCCATTATTTCCTTAATTCTTCGTTTTCTTTTCTTTTCTTTTTTAATTTCTCAATTTCAACTTCTTCTTCACATATCAATAATATATCAAGATTGTGAAGTTGGGTAGACAATTATTTGATGCTAAGTGAGAACAGAGAGGTTACGAAAACTTCAAAAAAATAAATAGAGAGGTTGATAAATTGAAGTAGATGTTGTCCATGGTGATGGATGACTTGGTGGTTAAGCCGTATGCCAATAAAACTGGCGTATTAAAAAAATAATTTAATATTATATTTATAGCAGGTCGGGTTAAATGGAACGGGTAATTAAATGGATATATATTTGGTTCTTAAAATTTTGGTTAATAATTAAAATTTCATGTCAGCAAATTTTAATGAAAAAAATAATTAAATTGGTTGAGTGACTTTCTGTGCAAAAAAAATCATAGTTGAGTGACTTTTGAGTTGAAAATGAAAGTTGAGTGACTTTCTATGAAAAGAATTGATAGTTGAGTGACCATCTAAGTTATTAACTCCGACAATTGCTTATTAACAAGTGTTATGAGTTCGTAGAAGGCATGTTGTGCATTAATTCCAAAAATACTCTCTTCGAAAATCTAGGTACAACACCTCTAAGCAGTAAAATTATCCTCGAGTGCCTTACTATTTTGAGCTATTAAAACGCCGCAGATATATGAGTATTTTTTTCACTCTGAAAAAGTCGAAAGGCAGTGTACTTATATATACCCTTTCTTGAACCCCACAGTCCACAGTAAGACCTAGCCGCTTCTCATTTTCTTGCCTCTTAAACCCTGAAAATTTGTCTTCTTCAGGTTTGTTTTTTAATTATTTTTTTGAGATGGGTTTATGCTTATTTTGCTATATTATGGTTATTTGCCTTGTTTTTTTGTTATGGTTCTTGATTTTTAGTTTATATGAAGCTTTGCAAGTGTTTGGGGTATATTGGTTTTATGTTTGGTTCATGTTGTAGAACTCTTACTCGTTGTTTTTTGATGTTTGGTGATAAAAATGAGTATTTTGAGATGGTTTTATGCTTATTTGGTTATGCTATGGTTCTTTGCCTTATTGTTTTGTTAGGGTTCTTGATTTTTTGTTAGTATGGAACTTTGTTAAGTCTTTGTGGTCTCTTGGTTTTATGTTTGGTTCATGTGGTATAACTTTTACTCATTGTTTTTTGATGTTTGATGAAAAAATGAGTTTTTTGAGATGGGTTTATGCTTATTTGATTATATTATGGTTCTTTACCTTATTGTTTTGCTATGGTTTTGATTTTTAGTTAATATGGAGCTTTGTTAAGTCTTTGGGGTATATTGGTTTTATGTTTGGTTTATATTGTAGAGCTTTTACTCATTGTCTTTTGATGTTTGGTGAAAAAAATGTGTTTTTTTAGATGGATTTATGCTTATTTGGTTATATCATGGTTATTTACCTAATTGTTATGTTATGTTTCTTTATTTTTTGGTTAATATGGAGCTTTGGTAATTCTTTGGTTTATCTTGGTTTTAAGTTTGGTTTAATATTGTAGAACTTTTACTCATTGTTTTTCATGTTTGGTTAAAAAAAAATCACTCTTTACCCTATTCAAGTCTGATAATGTTTTCTTTGTAGAACTTTTACTCATTGGCTTTATTTTGTTTGGTGAAAAAAAAATTGTTCTTTGTTCTGTTCAAAGTGAGATAATGCCTTGTCCTTCTTATTAGTTTGTTATTAGTGGTGTTTCTTTTTCTTGTATGTATGAAGTGTATTTCTCTAATTTGTGTAATTGAGTTAAACGAGTTTGATGATTGTTCTGTTTTGAAATAAAGATACTTCAAAGTTGCTCTCACTTATTATTTGCTTCAGAAATTTAATTGACCACTGGTGAATGATTAGCTAGTTGGCAGGGACAAATCCGCAATGCAGCGTACGTGTTTGGCAAAACCAACTCTGTATTTCTGTTGAAAAATTCACTCAATATGTATAAATTATCTATACAGAACCTAGTAAATTAATTTTTTAAAAGCTAGAACTCATAAACTCAAAGTCTTTGTGAAGATGGCTGTGAACCTAAGATGAGTTCTAATATCTAGTAACAAATCCCAGGGGGGATAAAGAGTGAAGGGAAAGAGGGGGACCTAGAGAGCTTATAGATTTCACTGCATATGTGGTTTCAGAAATCTTGTTTGTGAATGTGTGCCACTATGTGTTTTTTATTTGAGTATGCATTTAAATGAGCGAGTTTTGCTTCGTTTAGTCGTGCCACTCGTCTACCCTTTGTATAAGTCTTCTGCTTTGTCAATCTTCTTATTGATGTTGCCTGTCAGATTAAAGGTTTTCATACTTAAAAGCTAAATTTGTATAACCTTCTTTTATTTTTTTTATAGATATCTATGGCTTTCTACAACAAAATTGGTGGTCTTTTGAGGCAGAGCATTTCAACAAGTGGCAATGCATTGAACGCACAATCATCAGCACCTTCAATGCTTAACGCCATCCGTTGCATGTCAACAAAGCTTTTTGTTGGAGGTATGTGACTAGCAGTCTGAAAAAAATACCGCAAGTATTGCTTCTTAGTGAATACTTAGCGACATATAAAGTTTGCTTATTTATTCCTCAATTTAATAGGTCTTTCATTTGGAACTGATGATCAGTCACTGAAGGAAGCCTTCACCAGCTTTGGTGATGTCGTCGAGGGTAATCTCCAAACTATCTAGAGTCTGTCTTGCTTTAGTTTTCATCTTGTTTTTATCCTCCGATGATGAATATTTGAATGAACAACACAATGAAAATCAAGTTAGATGAAAAATACTATCTTTTATGAATGAGCATACATAGTACGATATGTATCTGATAATAGCTTACGATGTATATAATTTTAACCTATATATGGCATGGTGGATGCATAAATTTACCTGTTGTCTTGTGTTCCTCTTGCTAACTAGGCTATGAAACTTGATGGGTTTTCTGCAGCTCATGATTTGTGTCATGACCTTAAATGTTCATATAACGAGTGATCCTCACGTTTTTGTCATTAATTGCATATTTGGTTGCATACTCTAGTGATTGGGCTGGGATAGTGGCATTTTTCTGATAGTTTCTTATTTTGTTCTATCGGTTAAGGCATTATCAGTTACTATCGTCATCTCCCTCGTTTAAGTTGTGGGTGCTAGGATTAGTTTAAAATTGGAGTTGAACCAATATTTCTGGGTTTTTTGACATGCTTCTCCCTTTCATCTCGCTTGCTAGCTCTTACTTTCTGCTGTTTGAACTTTGCTCGTGTGTTAAATACTCGTGTACTTTGATTGTGGCACAGCTAAGGTCATCATGGATAGAGATTCTGGGAAATCAAAGGGATTTGGATTCGTGAACTTCACAGACGGCGAATCTGCCCATGAGGCTATGTCAGCAATGGATGGACAGGTAAATTTTGTTAGTAATACATGAAACCATTGAATATGCAAGTGGAATACCCCACCTTTGATTTATGCCTTTGTATAGTTTAAGGGGCTGTTTGGTTACAAGGATTAGGTGCATTTATACCGTGTAAAAATTTTCGGATTGAATTTTGTACCATGGTCGGTTGTGGATATTAGTTGAAATCAACAAACATACTTAGTGTAGTCTTACAAAGTGGGGTATGGGGAGGGTAAAACATATGCAGATCTTACTCCTACCTCTCAGAAGTGGAGAGGCTGATTATTCATGAATCATGGCTGATATCACATTATGCTCCGTGCAGGATCTCAACGGGAGGAACATCCGCGTCTCTCTAGCCCAAGAGAGAGCTCCACGCAGTGGTGGTTTTCGTTCAGGTGGCGGTGGATATGGTGGTGGTGGATTTGGCGGTGGCTATGGTGGATCTAGACAAAATGATGCATACTAAGTAAAACTTGTAATCTTTGCTCACTTGTCTATACAGGCATGGCGAATTTCGTAGGTAGGAGATAGGATTTAAACGTGATGTTGTGTTGAACGGATTTTCCTTAGCTTTTAATGTATGCTTTTATATTAAGGTTTATCTTATGGTCACTTGACTACTTCTGTCTTCTAATTATTCTTAACTTCATGGTATCCCCTTGCCCTAACTCTTGGCCTATGTTGGCAAGGTGATCGAATTAGAAAAATACTTGGTATTTTAATGGAGAAGTATAGTCGAGTATATTACTATTGATCGAGTTTTTTATGTGCTTAAGTTAAAAAAAAAAATGTGATTGAACTTCAGTCATATGTACCTAAATGTAAACTTTGTGCAGTCAGACTTCATTAAAGACACTGTATATCTGAAATTATGTAAGCACGCTAGTTAAATGACGATGTTAAGATTGGATATCCATACACTTCACCCTTATATATGCAATTATACAATATTAATTTGGGCTAGGACCATTTGGTCTAGTTCTGTAAAGCCCAGGAAACAAGTCTTAAAGCCCAAGGTATATAGAAAAGATGCAAATGTCGATTAATTTTGAATTAAGGGTGTATTCAATACGAAGAAAAATATTTATAAGTGGTTTGTTTCTATTTTTTTGTTGTGAGTATGTAGATAAAAATTATAATTACAAACATTTGTATATAATTTAGATAAATATTGTGGGGAGGTGGTCGAGATAGGGTAGGGGTGAATGTGGCGGACCCAGGACTTTCGTTTAGGGGGTTCGAAAAATAAAAGTATAAACGTGTATATATAAGCTAACAAAACAAAATTTCAAGAAAGTAGTAGTATTTAGTTTTAATGGCGGACCCTTGAATTTTTTTGGGTTTAAAACCATACTTTTAGCATGTTTTATAAAATAAAAAAACTAAAAAAAACGTGAAAACGGAACACAAACCTTAAAAAAAAAAAAAAAAAAAAACTGAAACTAAAAAAAATAAAACGCTAATGCAGGGATTCGAACCCTCAACATGAGACTTAATTTTCAAGGAACCTGCCACCGGGCTATCTCTTTCTCCTTGTCATTGAGGGGGTTCAAAATATATATATCCACATAAATACAGAAAATTACCTTATATATACAGTGTAGTTTTTTGCCGAGGGGGTTCGGGTGAACCCCCTGGAACCAACGTGGGTCCGCCCCTGGGGGTGATAGGGTGGTGAGTGGTGATGATGGGGGTTATACAGAGGTAAAGGTGAAGATGAGGTGTGTTGAACGATGCAAAGAACACAATCAATGTGAAATGTTATTTGTATAACTTATTTTTCCTACTTACATTAGATAAGTCCGTTTTTTTTATTCTTAATGAACTTATTTTCCTAAGAAAGTGTTTTTTTCATACTTCATGTGTAGCACCAATTATTCACTTTCTTGTTAACAAAGAACTTTAATTGCTTTTCTAAAGTCTAAATTTCAATTGACATGAAATCATAGCCCTTAATTAATATATTTAATATAATAATAAGAATGTTGTCCCACTACTTACATACAAATTCTAGAGTAAATTAAAGTCTTTTCAATGTCTAATAATCTTATTGCTAATTGGCTTTTTGTGCAACAAATTAAGCCTTGCCGACACTTTTATTTTCTTTAATGTCCTTTTCATGATTGAGTTATTAACATGTGCCTATGGTCCAAATAAATTGATATTTACAAATCAATTAAGAGTATGACACTTACTTGAATTAAGGGGCTCATCAAAAATAACTTCTTTTTTTTAAAAATTATAACGGATTAAATATGTTATTATTGTTGTTATAATTAAGAGTGTGACATTACTAATTACAAAGCAAAGTTATTGTCTATGCTCAAACATGTGAAACAAGCTCGAAGAGTTTGGTATAAAGAAAATAGGATGAGAGGAAATTGTGAATGAATCTTGAGTTAGAGACTTTAGGGTTATATAGGGTGAAGAATATTAAGTTTTATAGCAGCTTACAATATTATGTGTGAAAATGAAAATATATATAAAACTAAAAATAAATTTATAAAATACGAGTATTAAACCAATTGACCCATTGGAATTTCAACTTCTATGAATAAAAATATCATGATTAATCTGACGTTGAGTTTATACCAGCCTTGTTATAAATATTTTTTCGATAAACGAAATTTTATGATTGTGTTATGAAGTTCAACCTTATATTGTTGAAACTTTAAGACGCTAATATGAAGTTTAGTAAGAATTCTAGACTTTAAATATATAAAAGCAATCTTAAATTTCATGAAAAATTGAGATAATAGTCAAATGCTTCCCTAATCTATTACCCAACTATCAATTACATATTTATACTTTACGGGGTTCTATTACCTCAGATTATTCTTGTAATATTTTCTAATTAAATCCTTATATATATATATATATATATATATATATATATATATATATATATATATATATATATATATATATATTGTGATTTGTGAACACGTTTGTTGTTGACCAAAAGCTACAAAAATCAGTTCTTGGTAAGTTATTATTTTAGGTTACAATTAAACCTATAGTTTTGTAAGTAACTTCATAATTAAATCAAATAACAAAGTATCATGTTGTTGCAAACATTTTGGATCTTGTCCAACAAATTTTATGTTCAGAAAAGTATGTATATGTAAATAAAACTTATAAAAATTCCATATTAACTTCATTTAGCGACGGAATATTATATGAAAATTTAATTAGTTAAAGAGTTATTTAGCGACAAATTAGCTAGGCATTATCAATAAATTTGAAAATTAATTCTATATTTTCTAGTAGGGTAGAGTTCTAGCTATAAATTCAATAGAAACGAATAGTCCTAGTCAAAATCAAAACCAATTTATCTAGAATTGAATAAGCTATATTTTCTTGAATTCAGAATTTATAAATTCAAAATTTGGATCGGCGCCTTTGAAGTTAGTTTGAATAAATTTTCAATATATTTTCTGAGAAATAATTACAAAGCATGTTTCATTGTCAGCAATCTAGATCTAGCAATCAATGTTCTTCAATTTTGTGGTACTTTCAAAGACTCAACTAATTATTTTTACTCCACCATTCACGGTAGGCCAAGAAAAAAATGGTAAGTTCTAGATTATTTGTCTTAAAATATTATATAGTTTTTTTAAAAATAAAAATATTCTGCAGATATATTTCATTAGATATTAACATGTTGGAGAAAAAATAGAAGTGTGTTGATATGCTACAAATATATAGATTTGGGTATGTGAATATAAATGTTGAGACTGATACATTTAAATAATCAAAAATATGCTCTCTTTAATTATTCATTTTTATACATATTAAAAAAAAAAATAACTTTTGAAAATTAAAAAGTATTATACTCACGACTAGCGTTTGCTTTTTGATGGGAAGATTGTAGGTGTAACACATAAACGGATTCAAAATTTAAAGTAATTTTTGTAATGACTTTAAATAATATTATAACAATAATTGAGTTTACACACAAATAAATATTTATAGATATCTGAACTTTAATTGCTTATCATATATGAACATAACATATTTAATACACAAGACTAAAAAAAATATTTTAATATATAATTTTATTTATTTTTAATTTAAAATAACACCGTTCAAAAAACTTCTTTATTTTCTTAAATTTCATGTTAGGTTAAAATCTGCCAAAGGAGATACTACAATAATAACTGAACTCATATATAAATATTTAGTCAAAATATATTTGTAAAAAGAGAAGAGCGTGTGGGGTAGGCAGACAAAAAATATATTCTTGGTTCTTTATCTAGCTGGACCATTTTCTTTTTATTAATTTATTTTTGCTATTTTTTTCTTTTTTAAAAAAGGAAATTATGCCTTTATTTATGCTTAGATTTTTCTTGTCTAATTGAGTTTATTAAGTTGTGCGCCGGTGCCTAATATTTGTCAAAATCACAAGGTGTTATATGTGGACTTTTTTTATAACATGTCCAAATCAAACAGTAAATCATAACAAAATAGAAAATTAAGATTATATTTGAATTTTCCAAAATAAATAATATTAAAAGTGTCGAATTGATGGATTAGACTGATTTTGGGTGGGTTAAATTTGATTAAGTTAATAAATTGACAAATTAATAGAGTATAATTTATCTTATTAGATATATATTGATAGTTTTTAATGTCAGTCACAAATTTATTAATCTCGATTATAATTTTATATTTAATTGTAAATATTTATATCTATTCAATATTATAATATGTATTTAAAATTATTAACCAATTCACAAACTTAAAATTTTGAATCCAATTATATTAATCACAGTGGGGTATGAGGAGCACAAAGAAGCTAATATGTATTATATGGTCCACAAATATGATGAAATATATGAAGGAATCCACTTTATGAAAAAATGACATTACCTTTTGATTTGTAAAGGTACTGGCAAATGTTTCTGAAAAAGCAGCAACAGATAAGAACTGAAAATAGTTTATGTCAGCATAGTAAAAAACCAAATAGAAAACAGAAAAAAAAAATTAAATACAAGAATGAAAACATATATATTTATTTTTCATTCGTTGTCTAATACTTATATTGAGATTCGACTAAATCTGAATTTGCTTCGAAAATTTTTATATTAGGGGACAACATGCTCATCAACAGAGGATGAAATATAGTAATATTTATTACTCAGTCACGATCAATTATCACAGCTATATATTTTCTGTCAGCTTTAAGTTCTATGATTGGGTAAAACAGCCTTTGGAGGTGTTCATTTTGTACCGTCAGCTTTGCTGTCTGAGGTTGGCCTAGTAAATTTTAGCGATCAATGAAAATTATATAATTTATATATGATTAAAATTATTTTTTTAATTTATGTATTTATAATAAATGTTGAAGCTTCTTTAGCTTCTTGTATTTGTACTTCTTAATATTTTGAATCTCTTACTTAAAATTTTGACTCCATCGTTATAAAAATGATTAAAAAGAAGAAAAAGTGGGAGACTAAGATAGATTCAAATGTACATATAGCAAAAAATGGTTGTTGAGATAGTGAAACCAAATTTCATCTTAAAAGTACAAAGACCCCTTTTCTTCATTGATTATAACTTCCAAACACACACATTTTGAATATTAAATTTACTATTCAT